GAACTGCTGTATGAAAAGTGAATTTACTCTGTAAATCTTCACCCAAATCCTAATTAAAAAAAAAAAAAAAGAAAGAAAGAAATGGGTTTAAAGACTGAGAAAGTGGCAAAGGCAAGGATCCAGGAATGGGGGCATCCATCCAGGTTTCCTACAAACTCTGACAATTTCATTATAAAGTGATCACTGAATCATAATGAAAGAGATCAAGGATGCACAAATGCTCTTCCTAGACAGAATGCCTTCCAGGCCAGAAGCAGAGTATAATCAGTGTCTATCTAGCCCAGGTGACTGTATTAGCATATGTAGAGAACAAGCCAAATGTGTATATGTTGGAGCAGAGTGAGCTGATGATCAACCCAGCAACTTTGGAAATTAGGAAAGAGAAAGAATTTTCATGAGGCAGGAGATACTGAATAACCTGGTCACCTTTAACATTCTAAATTAATCTTAGCTTGTAAGTTGTACTTGTCTAGCTCTGTGGTGGGAATGTCCCTATTTTAAAGTGACCTCAATAGTCTATAGGCTGAACACTTCAGACATTTGAATGATTACCAACCCCCCTTGTTGCAAAGACATGCTCATATGATCTGGCTTCCTATCTTACATTTGGTTGCACTGATTAGCAAAAGCATATGACCCACTTGTTTCTACAGTCCTTACTGTAAAGTAACAAACTGGCATTTCCATTTATGTATTTGTCTTTAGTGAGCTTGATCAGCATAAAGCCATCCCCAAGAGACTGATCCAGACTTTGTATAAAGAGGAAACCAAATTCTGGGCCTATAAACCTGGTGACTCATAGCTAGCTTGAGGTGCCAGCCAAGGTGTTTCCCTTTAAGACATACTAGCCTGGAAGGCATTTTGCCCTCTCCCCAAAAATAGGCCAGTGAGTCTGGAGGACATTAGAAACACCAGGAGATGGGAGCATAAATCAAGGATGTGGTTAGGAGAGAATTGGGGGTGGATCATGCAACTCCTTGAAGATTAGTTTGGCTTGAACGTAGCAGGGACTCACTGAAGATGAATGAGCAGGGATTTTATAAAATCAGCTTCACTAGTTTAGTAGAACCTCTCTGATGACAGGATGAAGGCTAAATTGGATTTAGGAAAACTGGTGGTAGAGAACCAGTTATAAGCCTGTTCTAATTGTACAGGGAAGAGGTGAAGTAAAGTAGAAAAAGAATAGTGGCACGGCAAATAGAGGAGAAAGGTCACTCCCAAGAGACATTTCTATGGCTCCAGGTCACACCGACCAGGCTTCCATTCCCTCACTTGTAATATATGAAAAGAAGTAGCTGCCAGTTGCCTTGGAGAAGGGTCTCAGCTCTTTCTGGCTTCCTGTATCATTTGTAATTTCAGAAGGCTGCTCTCTTTTCATAAAACAGATAGAGATGTTTAATGGCTCTGGAGGCAAAGCAGAGCTTGTGAAATTTCTCTGACAGGGCACATTCTGGACTAATCCCAAACACAATATTCCTCTCCAGGCCTGAAAATTGCTGAACACTGTCTAGAACAATGTGACTTCCCCTGATATTTGCAGCCCGGCCAAACACAACGTCTGTTGCTCCACGTGTCTCAATTAATTCCATTGCTTTTAGTAGTGCAAGTTTATAGCGTTGCCTATCTTCCCCTTTCTTGCACAGAATTGCTATATCTTTGGACAGATAGCCATGGTGGAATAGGCTATGACATCTTGCTGCCACGTGGTTTGCTATTTGTTCTTCTGTCATGTTAGTCTCTGTCTCACACACCCCCAGCAGGGCCTGAGCACACATTGCTTCCTCATAGTCAGCCTCCCTGAACAATGCCAGTGCATCCGTAGACATGTTGAAAGGAGTATTTTCTTTGATCCTCTTCATTTCCTCTTTCATGACCTTTGCTATTTCCAGGGCACAGTGGATCCCCTTGGTGATTGTTTTTCGAGGAAACTGAGCTGATGGAGGGGGAAGGCCATTGACATCTGCATTATAGACTTGGAAAGGGTCCAGAAAAAGCCAGAGAATCCCACGGTGAAGGTTTTCGCTTCCAGCCCCCCTCACCTTTGGATGGGTGATGTTCTTAGCTTTCATGTACCAATCACCATATTTACTGCAGAAATTCTCAGTTTCATCCATCACTATGTGTTTAACCTCTAGGAACTCTGCTTGCATGAAGGTTTTCCGTGTCACCACCTTGCAGGTGGTTTGTTGTCTGTAACAATGAAAGAGAGAACAGGGTTTCAGGTATATAAACAAAGGGAACACCATGCATCCATTATTGTCTGACTTGGAATCAGAGACTAGTTCTGTTTTAGAGGCTGATTCATTAAGTGATTCAGTCCTGAATACCATAAAACTACTTACAAGTTACCCAACAGATGGAATCTATAGATTTAAACCCTACTCTTTGGGGTTAAGGAGCTCTGGTAGCATAGTGCCTAAGGCACTTGACTGCTAACCAGAAGGTTGATAGTTCAAACCCATCAGCCACTCCTCGGAAGGAAGGTTGGGCAATCTACTTCCGTAGTGATACTGCCTTGAAAACCCAAAGAGGGGTCGCTATGAGTTGGATCTGACTCAATGGCACATAACACAACAGCAACTTTGGGGTTATCAAGTTAAATCTGTACATGAAACTTTAGAAATGAACCCAGGTAGGTGCTTTTATTTTTTCAACTAGTAACCCGTTTTTGCTGCTTGACTATCCTTGAAGACTAGCTTCCTACATTTAAGGAAAATCTCAGAAGTAATTCACACTTATTACTACCATGCCTTTACTCTGTCATTTTTAGTGCTGGGCAATAGTCACCTAAAGGCATGTCATCATTTTTAAATGCAAAAGAGTTATGGACTAATATAAATTCCTCTAAACCAGATGCTATTTCTCCATTTAACTTGTAGTACAAAATCAGAAGTCTATTCTCATGGAAAGCCTCTTTAGATTTTGGTAAGGAAAACATTAAGTGTTTGCTGTGTTCCATGGTATGTAGAGAAGGGTAGCAAATCGACAAGGCTCTCTGGAGCTACTGCATTTACTTAGCTTAATTTTCCTTCCTTTTGTAGATATGTGTGTGTGTGTATGTGTGTTTATTTTTTTTAATGCGGTTGTTTCTTGTCCCCTCTAATTTGGATCCAACTAAAATCTCTCAAACCTACAGATTCCCTAATTTTAACAGCCAAGTGCTTAACCACTGTGCTACCAGGGCTCCTTTACATAGGCAATTCCCTATGTCTTGAGTTGTAAGTATTCATGTTCTTCTCCAGTTTGGACTATGTGGGCTTCCTGAAGAAAAATAGTAATTCTTAGCTATCTCTGTATTTCTCTCCCTTAAGGGTCTGGTAAGCGTTGAATTGAATTACCCTTTTGACTGGAATAGTCTTAAATTTTCCTACACCTAAACCAAATTTACTGCCATCAAGTTGATTCCGACTCATGGCAACCCCCATTGGGTTTCTAAGGCTGTAAATCTTTATGGAAGCAGACTGCCCTATCTTTTTTCTGCAGAGCGACTGGTGGGTTTGAACCACTGACCTTTTGGTTAGCAGCCAAATGCCTTAACTGCTACACCACCAGAACTCCTTAAACTTATCTATAAAGCATAATAAAGAACATGGTTCTTGGCGTAGCTTACAAGATCCTTCATAATCTGATATTTGCCTCCTTTCTGACTTTATCATCGGCCACATATCTGTATTCTGTCTCTGTTCCAGTCAAACCCACAGTCCATTCCCCATGGCTTAGCATTTGATGTGCCTTTTTCTTAGAAAACCTGCCCCGTTTTATTCACTTCTACTGAGTTCTTAAGAGTAGGCCAAGGGTGTCCTTCATTGGGGTGTGTTAGCCAATCAGCCTCCAGCCTGAGTTAAGATGACTATGTCTTCATTATTATATTAATTACACCATACCTCATTGCTTATTTTTTTTTATCTCCCTTATTGGACTTGATAGCAAGGTCTTCAATGTGGTTTTCCCCTCTAACACCAAGCCTAGCACAGTGTCTAACATATAAAAGGTACTCAAAAATGATTTATCGAATAAATGAGCAAACCAAACCAAAAATCAAAATGAATTTGCCCTTATTTGCTGAATTGTATCAAACCAATTTCTTTCTGCTAAGCCGAAAACTAAAGACTTAAGTCAGAAACACGTGTACGTGTTTTCTAAAAGTATTGATTCAGAACAAGTCAAACAAATGAACATATTTTATAAACAAAATCCAATGGTACTTAATACAAATTCCTGGTAAATACAATGTCTGATTAACTGAAATACCCTATGATTTTAAAGCATTAAGTATCAAGAAAAAGGTATATTTAAGCAAGAGATTCATTTCTACTTTTCTTAAATTTAAGGTCACAGATTGTGAGGGAAAAAAAAAGAAAACCCAGTGTTTCTAGTTCTAGAAATTTGAAGTTACGCATAGATGCATACTTGGGGGGGGGTATGCATATATAAATATAAATATATATATATGTAGAGATATTTATGCCTGAACACTGTAAATTACCTGCCTCTATCTCAACTGCCTGATCATTTGGAAATGTGCACATAGTTTACATTCTTGCACTTATTCAGCTAAGACACTACAAAATCTTAATCTAAAAACACAAATCACTTTTGTGACACTATTGAAAAGACTAACTAAATATCTTTATTGTGTTTACTTGGTGAGACTCTTACGTCACAAAATCCTTTAAGGAGTCACTTTCACAAACATAGAGGATCTCTTTTGGTTTGCAGTGGAACAAGTTCTTAATTTTCTCCATTATCTTTATGGCCAGGGCTGTCTTCCTGGTTCCTGGAAAGCAGTGGACGAACAGTTCCCGGGTCTCCTGAAGGCTCTCGGAAAGCAGCTCGCATTGCTCTTCGATGAGCAAGTTGAAGAACTGGCAGCTCAACTGGTCACTCAGGAGAGACCGTGAGCACAACGAGACTACCACCAGGGCCTGCAACAAGTCTTCCACTTCATCCTTATTTGCCAGCCTGTAGGATTGGGGGTAGTGCACCGGGGTTTCATCAGGTGTGTACTGTGTGCTAGGCAGGTGCATCAGCCTTGGAATGACACACACTTTCCCCATGTAACCACCAACAGTCTCCAGTTTCTGCTTTAACTGATGAGCAGTGTTTCGGGCATATTCAAGTCCACCAATCCACCTGGTGTCTATTAAGATTGTATAGAGTACCAGGGGGCTGTTAACTGCTATTAGGAGAGCGTCACACAGGACATTCTCCCCTTCCCTTAAGCCAACATCACCCGCCCAGCTTCTAGAAAATATCATAACTCCCTGAGAATAAGGATATGTCTTTGTCTTCATTAATTCTTCCAGTCCTCCATGATCTGAGAATAACTTCTTACAGAGGGATTCTGGTTTAAATTGTATTTCCTCCTGTGTCACTGAAAATTAGAAGCATAAAGGTAAGTTAACAAAAATGTTTTAAAACTGAATTGTAAATATTCCTGGTGCAAGAAAACAGGGCAGAAATGGCTTTAGCCATGAAACCGTGGCCTGAGATTAGAAGTTTTCATTTCTGATAACTCTAGCATAGGGGAAGTTTATCAGGAAACAGTCTTCACAGAATTGCCTTCTAGAATCTTCTCCTTAACTCCTGGTGGCCTATATCCAATGGGAAGGCACTCCTTGCTGTAGAGGGTCTTTTTTTTTTTCTTTTTTTTATTAGGATTTGGGTGAAGATTTACAGAGTAAATTCACTTTTCATACAGCAGTTCACATATACTTTGTCTCATGTCATTGACCAAAATTTACAATGCAGCAGCTCCCCTCCCACTTCCTCCCCATAGTTACCTCCTCCCAGTGTCCATCCCTTCATACTCTTCTGCACCCTGAGCTATCTCCCTGTGCATAAGCAGCCCTTCCTTCTCCCATGATTGTTCTCTCCAGGGCGTGTGTCTACTTGAGGTAAATGTTTAACTCACATGCCTGTGCTTTGTTTGTCTGGAAACCACAGTTGTGGGTTCAATTCCAGACCTGAAGGGCAGCTAGGGGCCATAGTCTCAGTGGTTCCACCAGGCTCTATTGGACCAGCAAACCTGGTCGCCACCTTCTTTTTTTTTTTTGTGTGTGTGTAGAGGGTCTTTTTGTGAACCTGATGCTTTTGTGGAACTAAGAGTTTTACTTTAGAATAGTGATTAATGACTTGGGGCATTGCATGTGGTAATAATGTCTGGAGATAGTTCTGGTTGTCACAACTGGAGGCATGCTAATAGCATCTAGTAGGTAGAGCCAAGGATGCTGTTAAATACTTTACAATGCACAGAACATCATCCCACCACGGCAAAAATATTATCTGGCCCCAATGTCAGTAGTGCCAAGGTTGAGGAACCCTGCTTTAGAAGTTCAGATGACCCTATGGCTCCTTCTGAGTTGGAAAGTCAAGAGGCAGTTCTCTTATGGCCTAAGAAATTCCTAAGGCCAAAGACCTAAGGAATTTTTAGCATTCTCAAATTTGGAGAACAAAAGCTATATATAACTAACTGGAAGTCCAACAGGTACACAGCAGTGAGAAGTAGAAAGTATACTGGAGATTTGATGACTGTTAAACAAGGGTCAGCCATATCATTTTAGGACCACTATGTCTATTGAGTCCTACATTTGACCTTAACTAAAGAGAAAGGCTTGGAACAATTGCTTTCAATTCCTTCCCACTTAATTTTAGAAAACAAATATTCCCCTCCACAGAAATCAAATGGAAATACCTGGAAACAAATGACGTTGCAGAGTCCCCTTAAATTCCAGGACTTTTATGGGATGTATTGGAGTTCTTAGAACAGATGAATCTGGTGAAATCAGGTGAGAGCTGTAGTCAACTGCCAAACTGGAAGAAGCTAAACAAATACATGGAAAATTGTTGGAGACCAGAAACAAAATAAAACAAAAGAACTCCTTCCTTGCTTTTCTACTGGAAACATGGGGTAGGCATCTTGCGCGAGCTGCCCTTACACTTAACTATGCCTCAAACACTTCACATATGTCAGGAAAGGAAGTTTGAGAACTCCTAAAGTGTTATGGATCTTCTAACTCACTGTGTGACTCCTCTTGGGCAACTCATTTTACCTCTTTCTCCTGCAACAATGAGTTGATGATCCCTAAGTTTCCTTCTGGGAGCTCTAGTAGTGTAGTGCCTAAGGCACTTGACTGCTAACCAGAAAGCTGGCCTTTCAAACCCACCAGCCACTCCTCAGAAGAAAGATGGGGCAATCTACTTCCATAGTCATACTGCCTCGGAAACCGAAGGAGGGGTCGCTGTGAGTCGGGTCCGATTTGATGGCACATAACAACAAAGTTTCCTTCTAACTTTAATATTCTGATTCCAGGTCATCTCTAAGAGGAAAAGTCACCTAGTGGGGTCAGCAAAGGTTAAGCACAGTATATATATATTGCCATAGTTATAGCACATACCATATATAGAGAGCATTTTGGTATATATAGAGAGAGAGTTTTAGTTATAGTACATAACAGCTGGTGGGTTTGAACTACTGACATTTTGGTTAGCAGCCCAATGTCTTACACCATATATAGTTACAGCTGTTTAAGGAGTTCCCAGGTGGCATAATGGTTAAGTTTTCAACTACTAACTGAAAGACAGGCAGTTTGAACCCATCCACAGGCACCTTAGAAGACAGGCCTGATAATCTACTTCCAAAAGGTCACACGCTTGAAAACCCATGGGAGCAGAGCTCTCCTGTGCACACACTCAAGTTTACCATGACTTAAAATCAACCACAGCAATTGACAACAGTAACATAGTTATTGCTTAAGGCCCCAGTCAATGTTTAGATGGATTAGAAAGTGGCAAGATCTCCAATGTGTATGTGTGTGTGTGTTTGTGTGTGTGTGTGTGTGTGAGAGAGAGAGAGAGAGAGAAACAGAGAGTGAGAGAGAGAGACAGACAGAGTAAGAAACTCAAACAAATTTAGGACAAGAGAAAGAATAATCCAATAAAATTCTCTAGTCACTCAAATGTTGACTCAAGCTTCTTTTTATCAAATTTAAAATATAATGACCATGAAGGCACTAAGCTTATAAGTGTAGTTCAGCCTATAAGTCCTTTATGCATCGATTAGGAATCACCAGTGCTGATTTCAAGCAAAACAGCAAGGGAAGTGACAATAGCAGCTGCCCCCTGTCCCACTGCCATCTTTGGCCTCAGCGATTTCTTTTTGCATCATTTTTCCTTACTTGGTGGTGCCCCAAGCCCAGTGGTTAATGGTATTAACATTTAAAACACTTAACAAAACATTGCAGAAAAATCCAAATTGTCAACAATGTTTCCTTTGAAAGAATCAATGAAGAGCCATTCTTAAAGATTTTCTGAAATATCATCTTTAGGCTGCAACTATTGATGACAAATTTTGACAAGGAATATCTACCTGAAATTTTTTTTAAACAAGCCTTTACAAGAAAAGGGAATTTTCACTTATTTATGGCTTATGGGATACTATAACCTTCCCAAAATAGACAAAAATCCAAGCATGTCTTGACTGCAAAGAGCTCATATACTGAGTCATTAGAACTTAAAGATAAGTAATTGAGAGAGCATTTGTAAGCAAAAGCAGCTTTGTATTCTTTAAAATATCTGACACGTATCCACCAAAGGCAGAGAAGGGAGTTCCTTCCTGCCCACTTGACAGTGACTTGGCACCAGCTTACCTAACTGAATGTCCAGCATTAGGGCCACCCAGTCCTCAGCCATCAGCCTTGTGACAGAATTGCTCCTCATGATCCAGGAATCTGGGGCTTCTGCGAACACCACACAGCAGAAGGGCTCAACCAGAACCACACAGACATAACCATACACAACATCTTTTTGGTACACATTCAAGATTTTGGTAGTGAAATTCACCTTTGGCTTCTCACGGCAGAAGTGGAATGTAGGCAGTTTTTCTATGCAGTTTTCGATTTCTTTTTTTAATAAGTCAGGGTTTATTTTCTCCTTCTTACAGCCAAATATTTCTTTGCTCTTATCATCCACCCCAATAATTAGGTATCCCCCTTGAGTGTTGGCAAATGCAGAAACATAACGAGGCAGCATTTCTTTCACCCGAGGCACAACCTTTTTAGTGGTGAACCTTTTTAACTCTACATGGGTTGACTCAGTAAAGTTGACTTTCTCCTTATACATGAGTTTGTCCTTTTTGAAGAATTCTGAGGCGGATGCCTTCATATCTTCTTCTTCCTGAATGGATCTGTCAAGAGCTTTCTGAGAATGCAGTTCCTTCACCATCCGTCTTCCTCTTTGGGCTCTGGACTGCTTTTCTCTGAGAAGCCCCAGGGCACTGCTAGCACTCAAGTTGATAGTGGAAGTCACATCTCTCTGATACAAATTGGACTTCAGGCTGCAAATCCTTAGGGGTAGGCTGAAAGCATCTGGGCTCCATGACTTAACGAAAATCAGGAGATTGTGTTGCTGCTGCATGTAGTCAAGATATTTTTGTGAACCTGAAGGAAGAAGCTTTTGAAAAGAAGTTTCCAGATCCTGTCCCAGCCCATGGCATCGGAAACTGTATGTTTTATCATCACTTTCTGCTTTGATCACACCCCCTCCAGAATTTAACAGTGCACAGATAGCTTGTATGATTTTAGAATTCTCTGTTCTTTTCAAATAGGTGTTAGTCATCTTCTTCCTGTTCTCTTCTCCAAAAGTCACTCTGCCCACGTCTACAACTCTTTCAGGATAGGGCATGTCCATATCACTCTTGAGTCTCTCCATTTCAGTAGTCTCTCTGTGCTCCAAACAACAATAGAAAAGGCTTCCTATAAAAGAAAGAAATCAGGACAATAATGTTTCTACATTGACAACTGTTCCAGAACTCACAATATTTTCTTCAGTTATGAATTATTGGAGATACATTTTAACATTGGGAAATAATCTTAGACATTACTGTTTTCTAACAGCTTTGCCAATATCCTTCACCTTCCCAACATGAACATGCATAGATAAAGGTGAATGCTTAATATTTGGTCATGATGGGAAAATCATATTACTGAAAATATCAGGCACTTCCCATTTAAAATTAGTAAGTGCCAACATTAAGCCCAGATATAAAGGGCATGCATGGGCTGGCACAGGAACCAAAGTGAGTTATCAGAGAACATGCAGAAGTAGAAGTCAGAAGTTGCTCTTTCTTAAAATTCAAGGGGAAAAGAAAGGAAGGCAGTAGAGAACTAAGAGAGTGCTGTTTTGGAGTATGTGTGACATAAAGATTTTGCTGTAAAAATAAACACAAAAGTTGGCCTTCCTTATGTGCTATTTCACACATTTAGAAGACTTTAGCCTATTTAGTGCTTCAAATACTCTTCCAAGTTTTTAAACCACAATTCTTCATATAGGATATGATGTGTGGGGGCAGAACTTTTCCTTCCCCCTAACAGCTCTGGGCTGCCCTGTGGGAACCCTTAAGACTTGGTAAAGAACATGATGAGATTTTACAGCATGGTCATTAAGCCAGGGTCAGCCTTCTTTTTGTTTCATAGACCAGGGAATAGCAATATGACTTGAAATTAGAGATTGGAAACAAATATTTCAGAAAGGACCTCCCCTGACAAAACAAAATATTTACTAACCCAAACCAACATTCTTACTCTAGGAGATGAGAATCCATTTCTTTTCTCTGATAATTGCAAAGCAGGAGCCATGTGAGTGTTGTTTATACCCACCAATGGGGGAAAAGCACACATCCAGTAGGCCATGTGCTCTTCTCTGACATTAGGTTGCCTTGGTTGACTTCTCACTTCCACCAGCCAAACCAAAATCAAACTGAGGAATTATTTTTTAGTATGTGAGCATCTCCTATAACCAAAACCACACCCACTGCCGGCAAATCAATTCTGATTCATAGTGATCCTATAGGACAGAGTAGAACTGCCCTCTAGGGCTTCCAAGGATGGAATCTTTACAGAAGCAGACTGCTACATTTTTCTCCCATGGAGCAGCTGATGGGTTCCACCTGCAAACCTTTTGGTTAATAGGTGAATGCTTTAACTGCTGCACCACCAGGACTCCTGCAAGCATCTCCTGTCAACTAACTCACTGCTGGTGAGTCAGATCCGACTCATAGCGACCCCTCCTTGGGTTGCTGAGGCAATATCACTATGGAAGTAGATTGCCCAGTCTCCCTTCCAGGGAGTGGTTGGTGGGTTTGAACCATCAGCCTTCTGGTTAGCAGTCAAGTGCCTTAGGCACTATGCTACCAGAGCTCCTACCAGAGCTCTTAGGTACATGTAAATATAGTATTTTATGTCCTTTTGAAGAAATGTTTGGTAACATTCTTTTCATATCATAGAATCATAGAGAATTTGAAGGGACATTAAAGATCTTCCAATCCA